CTAAATCCCGAGCCCTACTCTGAAAAGTCTGCAAGGGCAGAATTGAGCATTTGTTTGTTTTCACCACAATAACTATTCCTCTAGGTAGCTCACAGCTGATGAGGGCACACATTCTTTAGGAAATGTTCCAGCTAAGAACTGAGAAAGGAGTGACCACATGAGTGTCTCCATTCTGTAACCACGGATGAAACAACCATTCTAGATACTGATCACACAGGAAGCACTACAGCTAGAGTTTCGTGTCTCTAACAGGACAGTCTATACAACAGTTCCTCTCCACACCTAAGAAAGACAGACGACAGTCAGAGGACACAACAGCAACATACGGTGACAATCAGCAATGTGCAGACTGGGAAATTCAAGTCAGTTGATCCAGTTTCTTTAATAAATAAACTGCAAGGCTAGAAAGAGGGAAAAGAGAAAAGGAATACTGATTTTAAAAATAAATTGAGGGCCAGAGATGTAGCTTGGCAGCACAGCAACTGCCTGTCCAATGCAAGACCCTGAGTTCCATTCCCGTACCAACAAAAATAAATAAATTGCAATGCTTCCACCAATCACAAACTGACTAGATGTAGATCCTTATTTCAGCTACTAAAAACAAAACAGATAAACAGAACAAACCAATATGTGCGAAAAACAGCAACTATTACACAAGGACAAGACATTAAGGAATTATTGCTAATTTTAAGTAAGGTATGATATTTCTGAAAGCATCTTTGTTGGGCTCTGTGCCTAGATCCGCTGCCCCCAAACGGGCACACGGCAAAGGCTCAAAGGAATGAAACAAGCGGCACAGTCTTTAGTGCTGCAGGAGGAGTGAGATCCTCAGCAGAGCTCATAACTCTGCTGGCCGGCTGACTGATCCTAGGCAGCCCGTATTTAATCAGAACAAGCAAGGAGTTGAGTGGACAATGGACAAAACCTGAACAAGACCTTGGGAGGGGCTCAAGGACCCCTCAAAGCAACAATGATAATTAAGGAAAACCATCTGAAGGTCTCCAGGTGGCCTCAGCTGTGGTTTATCCTGCCCCCTGAGGTGTCGCCTGGTTCTCAGGGCCACGCGCACAGCCCTGTGCATGTATTCAGGTTCCACACTCTCCAACACATCTCCATCTTTATAGGTTTGGGGAAAAGCTACTGAGAAAAAGAACAGGAGAGGGAAGGTTGGGGGAGGGGGGGGACACGACAGGGACACTCGTCTTGTACAGGAGCCGGAGGGAAGATAGGGGAAGATCGAGTGGGTGTCAGGCAGGATGTGGGCTGGTTTCAGCAAGCCTTCAGGTTGGCCGGTCCTTGTCTCTTCCAGCAGGTGTGGAGAACTGGAAGGGAATAGATTTCACGCTCTCCAACACAAACCCTGCAACTTCAGGACCTTTCGGGAATTTAGTGACAATGTAGCTTTTCGGGTTAAAGTCCAAATGACAAAGAGTAATGCTCTTTCCTCATCAACTTTGCTGCCAGTCTACACTTTGCAGATCTGAGACACGCTGCATCCTCCCCTGTTATGTCGGTTCTTTGTTAATCTTGTTTCTCCTCATTAAAAAGAGAAAGGTGACCTATCGTGAGGCAAACCCAGTCCAAAAGGGAATCGAGCCGCAGGCATGAGCATGGCACATAAATTCCCGCTCCGGGGCAGTCTTCTCGGGACCCTTCCCCTGGAGCCAGACGCCCAGGACCAAGGACAAACTGCACCCTCCACCTGCCCACCAGGCTGAGGTCGCAGTCCTCCCTCCTTCACTCCCCTTCATCAACCCCACTGCCCTGGCCTCACGTGTCCCAAACAGAGCAGCAGCATTTAACACCAACCAACAAACACACACACAAACAATAAACAGTGGAAGAATTAAACACAGTCACATGGGCAACATACAAATTATAAGCATAAACGGAAGAAATTACAAAAAAGTGCCTAATGTGACTCTATTTATATCAAGTTCACAAACAGGTAAAACAATCTATAGTGAAAGAAGCAGAGAACTCAGTGAGGTTTCTGGGGAGTGGGAAATATTCTTGGGTTTCATTTAGGATCTAGTAAATAGGTATAAACATGGTAAAACCACCCATACAGCCGAACAACTAAGATTTATGCTTGTGACTTAATGTAAATTCTATCTCAATTTTTTAAAAGCTGGGGAAAAAACTTACAGAGCTCAAGTCAAGTATAGCCCTGACCCCCAGCCCATCTCCCAAAGTTATCTCCCAGGTAACTGCAACATGTATATTGTTTTGTCCCTATAAAAAATACAAAGTGTGATTTGTAAGTGGATAACCACATCAATGGACCCCTTCTAGCTTAGAGCTCCTGCTGCTCCTCAAGAACAAATGTTCCTGAAAGGATTTTGCCCCATTTGGGACACTGTAGCTGGTAAAAAGCCTGGGAGGCAGAACCAAGGGGCTCCATCTTCCCCACCCCTAAGAATTTACCTGTGTCGCGAAATGAATACCAATGGGCTACCTGTGCATCACTAATGCCCCTTAGGCATCACCTCAAACCTAAGCTACATGTACGCCCCCACTCCACGAGTCCTACAGAGAGAATGTCAGCCCTCGAAGACAATGCCAGACCCCAGAGGGTCAGGGGGGTTTCTCCCTACATTCTTAAAATAAAGGTCACTTATATTTCATCCTTCTATCTTTTCAGCCGCACCAAAATTCTATATCATATGGTTCCCTGACTGGGAATCCAATTCTCAGTTCCAACTGTTGTTCCAGCTAGGTTCATAATATAAACCAAAACTTTAAACTGCATGGCCGGTGCAATGAAACAAAAAGAAAAAAAGCAACACAAAAAGTGAAATATGAAAACCCACTCTTTGCCATTGCCAAGACGATCTCGTTAGCAAATCCATCGTGTAATCAATACAAATTTAGGAAGGCAGACTAAAAACACGAGGAGCAAATGGAGAAAAGGGCACCAGTCTCCCAGCCCCGTTTTCCAAAGGCTGCAGGAAGGTGACAGGGAGAAGAATTCTCCACCTGGCCCAGCTCAGGAGCAGGCTTCTGGGTCCGCTTCCGGAGCATGATGTGTGGCATTGCCCTTGCCCATGCCCATCACAATCATACTCAAAGTCTGGGCGAGGAGTGAGACGGACACTCCTAAGACAGGCATTGAGACAAACACTCCTACTCCTCCTCCTCCTCCTCCTCCTCTTCCACCTCCTCCTCCTCCTCAGCAGGAAGTCAGCGGCCCAGAAAGGAGGCCGCTGGCCATAGTCTCCTTCCTGACCCAACCTAGCAGCCAGGAGAGGCTGACTTAGCAGAAGTGGTCTCCCACAGGCCGCAAACACAGCTCCCCAGTAAATGCACCTGGGCAGCACAAGCTCAGCTAAACACCATCTCCGTAAATGAACTGTTAAAGAAAGACCAGCTCTGCCAGTCCGTATTCATGGCATAAATCATTCCAAACTGATTCATGTTTCACACTTTATCTAAACTAAAGTGAAAAGTAAAACCAAAGTCTGGGACAAAAACATACCTGGCAGAAAAGGGACAACAAATGTGATTGGTTTATAACTAGGTTTGTTATAAACCTAGTTGGGATTTGCTCACAGGCATGGAGAATAATTCTGGGAAGCTCCCTTGAACACCAGGACCACAGGGCTCTTGTTTGCTAAGGTGGAGACCACAGGTTACATGATGTTGCTTCTGCTAAAAATGGAACACGGCTTTCAGGGCTTACAAATGAATAGAAATTCTTATTAAGTTGTTAAAAGCAAAAAAGAAATCAGTATTCCACTCCATGTCCTTAAGTCAACCTGGAAACAAATATCCTTTGCCTCCATAATGGAAATTTGGTTTCTGGAAACTCCTTTTGATGAGTCTCTACCAACATAAATCAACTAAGCCCTTTTTTTGGTCCTTTAGTTTTTCTGAGACAGGGTCTCACTACATAGCCAGGTTGGCTTCAGCCTCCTTCATGCGAGGATTACAGATGGGCGCCACCACACCTAACTCAAAGCAGCACTGAAAAGGTTTGGGTGACAGTTAGCAACACAATGTCTCTGACATGTCAACCTTCTGTTATAGTAGTTTCTTTCTACAAAATGGTACCCAAAAAAGTATCAATTGTTGGCACTTATTTTAAAGTGGTATTAAAGTAGCAAACATAAAACAACAGAGTAAGGCTTGACAAATAAGAAAAAAAGGACCTAGCATCTCCTCTCTCCAAACCTTTTCCTACCTTCTTCCATCTCTCTGGGCTTGGGTCAGGACACTGGGAATCAACAGTAGGAAGAGGAGGAGCGGCAGACACAGCGCACAAGGCATCCTGCCAGGATGCGTAAAAACCCAGGAAGGAAACCTGCACAGACCACATTCTGAGACGCCAAAAGTCACAGTGATGCACCTGCGCTTTAACATCTTCTTCCACAACAACCACACAGACTCTTCCTGCCCTCTTTTAAACTTATTCTCCACATCGACAGGTATTCTTCTCTTTAAGAACGTATACCTCAACTGTGTTTTGAGAAACCATCCACAGTACTATGAATAAATTCCAAAATGTCTAGCAAGGTCTAGATAATTTAGTTTATTAATATCCTCATTTAAATATAATCTTGGAGCTAACGGATGCTTAATTTAAATAATAATTATCTAACCACTCAGTATATATCTAAAATGAAGGAATGCAGACCATGGTTCTCTGAAAAGGAATGTGATAAAAAGCAGGGTGATTAGAAATTGATTGCAAGGAACAACACAGAATATAGTGAAAGATTCAGTTCAAGTTTCTGTTTTCTTTTTTTCTTGGTACCGGAGATCAAACTCATGATCTCATGTTTACCAGGCAGGCGCTTACACAGCTGAGCTAAGTTCCCGGCCCAAGTTTCTGGTTTTTGAGGGTGTTCTATGCTGAAGGTTTTGAGTTAGAGAAATATAATCAAACTGCACAACCATCTGAAGAGTTTCTCAAGCAGAAACTTTTTTTCCCCCAGTAGTGAACTGGTAAATCTCAGTCATGAGGGCACCGGAAGAGAAAGCAGATTTAAGCCAAATACCTGTTCCCTGCTTCTTTTTCAGAAGCGATGCGCAGGCAGCATTGGTGGCCATGTCCAAGGCCAGCTTCTTTTCGTTGTTCAGCAAGTCCGTTCTAGCACCTTCCCGGCACAAGAAAGGAAAGTTAGGTGTTTTAAAGACTAAAGAAACAGCCAATCCTTTTTCCGCCAAGGCTGATCACTTTGGCAAAAGTAACTAGAGAACAACTGTGGATTAAGACAGTGCATTTGAGCATCTCGAGCCAGTTTACCATCCCCCTGGTGAAGCTTAAATCAGCACTTACTCTCTCAGGGTTACAAGTGCCTCGGCAAGTTTGTGGAGCTTAAATTTAACATGCCCTTTTCCAATTCTGCTCAAAAGACTTGGAAAGACCATCTGGATTGAGCTTCGAGGAATATTTTATATCTTTAATTTTACTTTCATGCAAACTAGCAGAAACCAGAACATAATAAAACCAGAAGACAATTCACTGTTCCCAACTCACTGTAGCCAAACCCTCTTCCACTCATTTTGTCTTTGCACCTAAAATCACACCAGAATTTTTAATATATTTTCATTGTTAATAATGAGGAACACTAAAGCAGACCCAACAAAAGCTTAATTCCCACTTTCCTCTCCATCTTCTCCCTTTTCGAGGTAACCGTCTATAACGAGTGGGCTTGAGCTCCCATCTCCGGCTTGTGTGTCAGTGCATTTACCAGCACATACCAGCACATACACAGAATCATGTTACATGCCAGCACACAAGCACAGTCATCTCTTGAATTCCTCAGTATCAGCGCTAACAGAAACACAAGGTAAGCCGTACATAAAACTTAAAAATTTCTTGTTAACTAAACGTATCTGGAAAACAAGAAATTAATTTTAATAGTTTTATTTAACCTAATATATCTGAAATGTTATTTCTTCAATATGTAATCACATCAATTTATTGGGCTACTTTATTTTTTTCAGTACATCAAAATCTGGCGTGTATTTTATGCTGACAACACATCTCAATTCAGACAGCCTCGCTGCAAGGGCTCACAACACAAACGGCCTCAGTGCAACATTTAGGGGGCACCACAGCGGCCCTCACCATGTCTGAGCTTTGAGAACAGAAGTTTACTTCACCACCATACTTACTAGTTCAAAACTAGTCCCTTTCATACACCCTACAACACAAGCTCCACGGATCCCTAATGATGGTGACTCTGTAATTTATGACTTGGGGACCCTAGCTACATTATAGCTTTCTGGGCCAAGGTGTAATTGAAGGTATAATAGAGGGTGGGACGTGTGGTCCTTTGTAAGGGTTAATTAATATTTATGTAACACATGTGGGTGGATGACCAGGCCATAATTTCCTTGTTCCTTCTGAATTCCATAAAAATGAGATCAAGGTATCTGCTCAGCTCAGAGTAAGTCACGGAAGTCCTAGCACTCTTCTGACCCACCACGACTCTCCTGACCACAGGACCTTGGTAATGTTTCCCCAGCAACTTTCTAAGACAAAAATCTCCTCACTTGTATAAACACACCCTGTCCTTCTAAGGCCCTCTATACTATGCATACACACAGTGAGCTCTTTCTAAAAGTAAGTATGTAACTCCAAGTATTAAGCAAATCCTAGTAACGTCACCCAGCCCCAACAATTTTATGAGATAGACAGAATGGGGCTTAAAAATCTCAGTTTTATGTCTAAAAAGAGAAGGTGGTAACCATTGCTAATTTCTTATTCTCTTGTTTTGAAATCCTGTATCATTTTCATTGTTTTGATGTGGTTTTACTGTTTTGTTTTTTGATTTTATTATATCTGGTGACATAGGCAGCTATTCTGAAGATAATAAGAGGCATTATGGCAGTGTTGATTTCCTATTATTGTTTTGAAGTCCTATATTGTTTTCACTGTTTTGTTTTCATTGGCTTTATTCTGTTTTATATTGTTTGGTTTCATTCTCTTGAAAATAAAAAAAAATTAAAAGTCTGTTTCAAAATAAGGATCCTATTATTCTTCCTGCTATTTCAAATAGTACAGTTCTTCAGGGCAAACACAGACCAGACACATTCAGGACAAACCTTACCTTTTTCCAAAAGCAACTGGACAATATCTGCGTAGCCCTTCCAGGCAGCAGCATGCAGAGCTGTGTCCCCCAACTTGTTCTAAAGTGACAGAAAGGAAAAGTAAAATTCCAAAACAGATGAGCTGAATGCAGACATTAATCTATGGAAACCTGAGAAGAGAAAAAAGTCACAGAGCCACACGGACTCCAAAGGGGACAGAAAGGAGACTCGAGTGATGAGAGAGGAGTCATGCTGGGAGATGGGTGGAATACAGAGAACAGGCTCAAGGAAATCAGGACAAGGCAAGCAGGTCTGTTCTCACAGGAACCTAGCGAGGAGGACAAATTTGATTCCTGTAGGTGTCGGGGCAGAAGTGAGCTACAGGGTGAAAGCGGGGACTGTGAATGTACTAGGAAGTAACTGGAACCCCAGGACCGCCTTCCTGCCAGGTGACCCAGTAAAGACGGCAGGATTACCTCGTTGAGGAAATAGCCAGTTTCCAAGCTCCGCAGGTATAAGGCGGACAAGCCCGTGGTAGTGGTGGGTGGGATTTAAATATGCAGGTGAGTACTGTCCAGTTAAACAGCCAAAGCCTCACCCCTTCACCCCGAGGAGAGACACCAGCCAGCAGGCCCACACACAGCTGCCAGTCCCACTTACAAACGAATGGATGCATCAAGACACCAGGTATTTCAGGGAAGCCAACAACAGATGAGGAAAGACCAAGCAAGCAAATAAATGGCTCTCAGAGAGAAGATGGCACAATGAAGAGCAGAAACATTTTAAGGGCTGTAACTGAAATATCAGTTTGTAAGATAACACTGCGTCATGAAACAGGAAAAGGATGTTACTTGAAAGTAACAGAGTAAAATAAGCGTTTCTGGTCACAAGAATTCTAAGGTAGACCCTAGACTGCTGCCCCTGGTAGACCACTGTATAGTCCCTCCCCTTGGATGCGGCTAAGGCCGGAGATTGTAAGTCTGCCGCTCCCGTAACTGAGTGGCCATCCTCCGAAAGGCCTTCGCCAGAGCCATGCAAATACCAGTGCCAGGCCTCTGAACTTTAGAAATATTTGCCAAATCAACTTCTTTTGAAAGTAGCCCACCTTGGGTTTTACATTTTTAAGACAGAGAACTTACTAATCCAGGAATTGAAATGGCATCAGACTCTGCAAAGTGACCCTGGAAATAAGATCACCATAGAGCCATGTTTTCAAAATTCTAGGCTGAAATTATGTTCAGCCTAGAACTGTGACCAACTATGAATCAACCCCAAATTCCTCTTTCTCAGGAATCTACATGAAGATGTTTGCTGGCAAAAGAAGTCAGAAGACCCAGAAAAGTAGACACACAGTAGATAGAAAAGAGAGTCCCACAAAACCAGCAACGAGACCAAATTGCTCAGACTGGAGAATGAGGATGGGGGCCGCATGAAATGTGAGTCCAGGAAGCAAAGAAGTCACTGGTCCTCTTACACATGTTAGAACAGTACATCAACAGTATAAAACAGTACAAGACAAGAAATGCCAAAAAAACTCAAATGAAAGTTAATAAAGTATTAACCACAGAAATAAAGTTATACAAATAATGACTACTATTAGATAGTGGTAATAATGTAAACACCTAATAACATAACCAAAGCTATGATAAAATAATTAGAACAAGAGGAAAGCTTAGGTGTTAGGGTGCTAAAAGCAGACAGACAAGCTTAAACCTTCACCAACCAAAACCCTACCTACTAGGGTAGGGTTTATGAAGATGATGTATGACAAGGTAGCTCCCTAAGCCTGTTACTAACACAAAGATAGGTACATGCTATGGCTTGGTATCTAGATAGGTATCTAGATGTCCCCCCAAAGCCTCATGCAGTCATGGGAGTGGGCGGAGGGGGCTTTTTCAGAGGTGGCAGGATCTAAAGTATGTGGTACTGGCACTGTTCATGGTGCCGTGCTACAACCAAGAGTACCCAGATTAAGAATGTGAGTGCCACCTGCCCTAACTAGCCTGGCTATGATATAAAGGATAGGAAAGCCTGTGGTGGTCCCTTGCTTGGTCTGCTACCTTCTGCCCACCATGAATTCTGTCTCCTCTGTGACGCCTACCTCCCATGCCACCCTGATACAGAGCCAGCTGATTATGGACCACAGCCTCTACAAACTCAGCTAAACTTTTACTCCTTTTACTTTGGGTATCAGGTATTTTGTCTCAGCAATAAGAGAAAAATAAATACAAGAAAGAACTGAATGCTAAAATAATAAATGGGATTGGAGAAGGCATTTTGTGCTTTTAAAAGTCAGATGTAGTGGCACACACCTGCAATCTTAGCAGTCAGGGGCTCAGGCAGAAGGACTGCTGCAAGTCTAAGGCCACCCTGGGCTGTGTAGTAAACTCAAGGCCAGTGTGAACCACATAGTGGTTGAGCACAAAAGCTCAATAATAATAATAACAATAAAAACTTTATTTTAATACAATAATAGCTTTAAAAAACTATGTGCTTAAGGCTAGGGGCATGGCTCAGTGGTAGAGAGACTGCTTAGCATGTGCAAGATCTTAGATTCTATCACCAGCACCCAAAACAAAATCTATACACTTAAAGAGTATTCTTACCAAAATATTTTGCATGTTCAAGTTGTACTGTACTGTGAGTTCGATTCCCAATCCAAAAAAAAAAAACCAAGTTGCGTTGTACCAAGCAAAAAAAGACAAGTGTATTCAATTATTTCTTCTTACTGAGCAGTCTTACCTGTTGGTTCAGTTCAATATTTGGCTGAGTAAACAGCACTTCCACTATATCTGAAATTCAAATGGAAAAGATATCACTTAATAAAAAGTAAAAGGCTGATAAAACTAGGCATGATGATATTAAAAGAGGATTCTTTAGCAGGACCTTTAAGAAAAATCTTACTACAAATTTCTCAAAATTTATCTATAGAAAAACCTAAGAATCTGGAAAGCAGAATTGTTTCAGGAAAAACACCTTTTTTCAGTGGCTTTTGTGTTTTCATATGACATCTATTATAGGAATATTTTTACATTTGCTATAGCACAAGGCTTAGTATTCAAATAAGCAACTTAGGTTTGTTGGCTAAAAGGAAACAGGCTTCTTTAGGAGTCACAGATTGTCCCTTAGCTATGCCATTTCATTTGCTGGTTCCTGGTTTCCTATTGCTGGGCTGATTTTTACACTGCAGAGAAAGGCAGAAAGTGGTAAATTTTTGAGCAGCATGAAACAGATCCAGAAGCTCGATCTGCCTACTCCTGACTGTAACAGAAAAAGTATTAACTGAATCACAAACTTCAGCAGGTGCTTTCTCTTGACTCTAACAGTTTACATTCAATTTAAAACGCAAATTGTAGAAGTGTATCTCAGAAAAAGCGAAACTACAGAAGCCAAATTTGCCCTTTCCTCCTGTACGATCAGAGAGTCAGTTTACTTTCCTATTGTTGCTGTTTTGTAGTAACCCATCTAGGCCTACAGGAAAGGAAGTTTCCAGCTTTACCACTGAGAGAGTCACACAGCAAAGCCGACCTTGCAGGGTGTGCACAGCCTTCCAGACAGGGTTTTGGCTGAGAGTCCACAGGAGTTGAACAGCCAACGATGTCTTTTCACTTTTGTAAACCTGGCCTCCCTAGTGGAACAACGTACAAAGACAAATGGTACCTTTGTGACCCCCATGACACGCCCAGTACAAGGCAGTGCTTCCGGCTTTGTCCAGGCCGTTCACACCCACACGATTGTCCAGACACTCCCTCAGCCAGCTCAGGTTGCCTGCAGGGGTTTACATTTACAAAACACAAGGAAAAGGCTTTTATTCTCCGTTTCACTTTTAAATCAATTTCATCCTTCATAAGTTTCCATTCCAGTGGATTAATCAGCAGGCCTAAAATTAAGACATACCCACTAATGCATTATTATGGTGCACTGTGACTGCCAGCTCATTACTAGGATGCATTTGCATCAATTTTTAATGGTAGGTCGATGGGAAGGGTTGCCTAAATAGACCCTTTTCAAGTATTTATATATGTTGATATAGATGTATTGTTTTTTCTTTGTGAAATTCTAGAACTTACGGAGGAAAAAAAAAAGAGTCAAACCTAAATTTTTAAACAGAAACTTTTCCTGCTCATATTTAAAGTGCACGTTCAGTTCTTGCGAGAAGAAAAACACTAAAAACCTACTCTAAGTTACCTCTCTAATATGTTATACTATTAATTCAAAACCCTCAAGCTGATGCCCCAAATAATTTATAAGGAATGTTTTAAGTGTCAGTTTAGTAATGCTCAACGAATTAATTTTCTTTTTCATATTCACATTTCAAAAAGACAAGAAACAATGAAACAATGAAACAAGCTCACTGAGGTTTTACAGACAAGCCCCACTGGTACCCCAGAGGTGGCGGCCAGGACACAGTCACAGGGTCTCCAGATACCGCCAGACATGCCCAGGACTAGTGGGGAGCGATCACTGCTAGTTGAGAACCACTATCTACTGGACAAAAGCCCAAAACAAGGTCCAAACCTCAGCCCTCTTGATCACTGTCTCACCTACCAAATCCTCCCCACAGCAACACGGCCCTAAATCCTGTGCCCTACGATGCCTGCATCTCTTGTCCCCAATTACTCACTCTGGCCACTACGGCACTCGCTTCATCTGCTCTACTTCTATTTTTCCTTCTACTAGAGATGGAACCCAGGGCCTCCACACTGAGCCACATCTCCAGCCATTTTTAAATTTCTTATGTTGAAACAGGGTCTCAGTTGCTCAACAGCCCCAGATCCCAGAATGGGGTTACAGGTAAGCCCCACATTGTACCTATTCCACATCTCTTTCCTGGGCCCAACTCTGAAGCCTGGACCTTAAGATCATGTCTCTCTACTTGCCTGTTCCCACCATGCAGCACAGGGTAGGTAACATACTTCAAAGTGTTTGTTAAATGCATTTTAAAGTTAAAATCAGCGGCATAGGCCCCTGCCTGGCAAGCTCGAGGTTGTTAGTTTGGTCCCCAATACCAAAAAAAAAAAAAAAAAATTTAAAATGACATCCTGGTGGGAAGGTATAGAAGGGATGATAAAAGAGTTCTGGATCTCAATCTGGATGTCAGTGCTATGGGTATACCCATTGGTCACAACTCACTGACCTGTACCAAGCTTATGGGTTTTCATCCCTAGAGCATGCGTCTCACCTACCTCTTTTGGCAGCTTCGTGCAACGGATTGTCAATAGATTCTGCCTGCTCGGCCACTAGATTTAACATAGAAATACAAGGTCAGTGCTGAAAACTGCTTGCTGGGTGTTCTGCTGAAGCCACTCATGCCCATCAACCACCCAGACTCATGAGTGTCATGGCCTTGGACAAGACAGCGCAGACTTAAAAATAACATAAAATAAAACCAACATTGCCTACTTTAAGAGCGCTCAATTATGTGTCAAATGAAACCAAATCAAACAATAACAGAGTAACACATAATTAACTAGAAGTATAAACAAAAGAAAAAAAGCAATTAGCTGGAAATATAAACAAAACCAAGTAGATTCATGACCTGAATTTCATGAAGGAACCTACTCACAAAAATGCAAAAGCAAGCAGCCTATGTCCAAATTCCAGTTCCCTTGTGTGTGGGGGTGGGGTACTCCTGTATTCAGAAAGGACAGTGGAAGGTGTGTGCACCTCGGTCTTAGCAAGAGTACAGAAGGAAGACCCCTCCCCTCCCACCAGCAAAGGGCTGTCACAGGACACAGATCCAAAGCTGCAGAAGCTCACCTTCCACTCATGATGCTTATGATCAAGACTGGAAATGGAGCACACTATAAAGATGTATTTGCAATTACAGAGATTTAAAGGAATGTAGGAATGTTTAAAGTGCTTTGTTTGGTTTGGTTTTGTTAAAGAACAGGACCACCCTAGACCACAGTGAGTAGCACCCCTGTGCAGGGCCCAGCATGCAGCCCTTACCCCTATACCCTCCCTTGACATCTGCTAATCCCTTCTTCTGTGCGTGAAATCAGGGCCTGGGCCACCTCCATCAGTCCAATGATTCAGGTCCTCATTGTGACCTGACCAACCAACGCTTTTCGTTATGCAGATGCGAACAATGAATCCCAGAGGCAGCACTTAGACTCTTAACTAAGCAACACCTTGTTAGTAAGAAGTGGAAGAATTAATCCCAGACCTTCTTTACCAATCCCATGCTCTTTGGATTTTGCTGATTTCTACTTACAGATTTTTACCCTTTTCCAGCTAAAAGCAGCTCTATGGCAAGAGCCACGTGTCAGGATTCAAGCCCCCCAAACTACTGGGACAAGCATTTCATGAACTTCCCACCCCAATGTGAATTAACAGGGTGGGATTTCTTCATTCCAAAGGAAAGGGCTAGTCTCAAAAACAACCTGCGAGATTTAGGTTAGCAGTATTAAAAACAAAATGTGTTAAGAGCTGAATAAACTGAAACCATAAGCATTTCCCTGCAAACGCAGGGTTTTTCAAGAATGCTACAACACCGTTCTCTTGCACCAAAGAGTCAGACTCAAGCAGGTCCGGTGTTTATGCCCACTCTATAACAGGAGGCTCACAGAGTGGTAGATGTCCTAGACTGGCAGTGACTCCTGTGACTTCCCAGCCCCAGCTGCAAGCAGAAAGGCCTGGAGAACTGGAGAACTGAAGATGAGCACAGTAGAGCTGGAGAAAGCCCCTGCAGCAACACTCACCGTAGTTGCTTGGGATTAGTCCCGTCCTGCCTTTGGAGGTTCCTTTCCACCAATTGCTATCGCTCTGGTGTGAGAAGAGTTAAATTAAATAGTGCCAAATACGTTTGCATTCAGTCACTTGCAAGCCTTCCGCTCACAGGGTGTCCCTGTTCTGTGTCCCTGTTCTACAAAATGCCCACAGGCCTGACCACATTTAACTATCAAGTTCCTCACACCCTGGCTGGAGACCCTCACACCCAGGCATCCAAACAGCCACCTGTAACAAATCAAATACACTTCACCCCAGAGCGAGACAGTCAGACAAATCAGATACAAGGAAGGAGAAGGGGAATCTTAGGTTAGTTCAGACTGATCAGAGGACTGTTTCTGTCTAGAGTTCAATTTGTCTTATGTTTTGAGAGGTTTCCTAAAGATTTCTTTGCCTTAATTTGCCATGAGGAAATTTTATCACAGAAAAATTTAAACCTATGAAAAGGTAGAATGACCACTACAATGAACTTCCCAACTACAAGAATCATCTACTCCCAGACAAGTGTTTCATATTCAACCTCTATCTCCTCCCCTTGAGATTATTTTGAAATAAATTCTAGATATTTCATCTGTAAATATATCAATCTGTGACACTGAAAGGATTTTTTCAAAGACAATTGTAAAGCATTATCACAGCTCACAATTTTCTTAATAATAATTCCTTAATATCATTAAATGTTTAAGTCATAATCAAATTTCCCAGTTGCCCCTTAATTTGGGATCCCAAATAGAGGATCATATAATATGACTGATCTGTCTCTTTGCATGTCTCTTATTTACAGGCTTCCCTTCTATTTTTTTTTAAATCTCTTGCAATGTGCTTGTGGAAGAAATCCACTTGTTCTGTACAGCTGTAGCAATCTGGAGTCTGCCTGCTGAATATATGTGTCATCATTAAACACCATCCTCTGTTCTCTGCATTGCCCATGAACTGGCAGGTAGTTCTAAAGGCTTAATTAGAATTTCAGCTTCTTGGCAAGGCTAGTTCACAGGTGGCACTGATCTCCTCCATCAGGAAACAGGTCGTGCATACCGTTTTTGTAATTAGTTGCCATTGATGATCACTGCCCCAATCCGTCATTTCAAAAGGGTGCAAAGTGGGGACAGTCCATCACTCTTCCTTCATTTAAATAACCAGCATATCTCTTTAAAGAGAAATCTTCCCTCATCAACTCTCAGGTTACCACAGATGCAGGGCATAGAGAAAAGGCAGAAAGACGTGACTCCAAGTCAGCTCGCCAGTGTGCCCTCACTGACCGCAGGCGTTGGCTCTGAAGCACCATCAGGGCTCTCACTGCGGTGCCACAGCTGGGAGCTGCTGCCCTAACCAACGCTCACATTGTCCCACTGAGACCACAGAACAGGGCTCTCGTCAGCTCCTGAGTCCTGCTAGTGTGACCTTCTTAGTCCTCGGGAGTTTCTTCTTCTCTAGTAATGAACTGTCTGGGTTTATTTTGTACCTCTTCTGCTCCAGACCTGGTAGCAGACATTTCTCAGAGCAGACGTTTTCTTTAATGTGCATTAAGATAATTTGATGATGGTCATTTTTAGAGTCTGAAGACAGAGTATGGAAAATTTTTGCTTGTTTGAAAATAAAATACAACACATAGCCAAATCCAAATCAAATGAAGGACTACTGAGTTTTTACCCAACCTCAACGACAGATACCACGTCCCCACCTCCTGCCACACACACTGAACGCCTGGGGCCCAGCATCACTAAGGCCCTGACCTAACAAGTAATCCCCCCCTCCCAATACTCATACAACATCTCAGAAACAGGAAGGACATGGCCCGATTTTAAAAGTTTGTTTTTTTTTTTTTTTCCTGGCAGTTGTTTTAGTCCTTCGCAGATTTTCTACTGGCACTGATTAGAAAAACTGCTAAAATTTAAGTCACTTGAGTCATCTCCTCTCCATGCCTTCCAATTACCAGGATAGTATTAAGGTTGGTCGATTTGTTCTGCTTTTAACTTTTATGAATTTTCTACGACACAATTACATAACTATGTGAAAGTGTATATGATTCCAAAGCCCATTCTACAAAACCAAGTGTAATTTTCTTTTCTTTTTTTTTTTTTTGTCTTTTTCCTTTTTATCGGTACCAGGGATTGAACTCACAACTGCCTACTTACAAGGCAGGCGCTTATGCCACTGAGCTAAATCCCCAGCCCCAAGTGTAATTTTCTTTAAAAGTCTATTTCTATATCCCATCTATCCTTCTCTTCCTCTTTTTCTTTTAAATTTTGATTTACCTTTTCATTATTCATTTTAAATCATAGAGAACACAGTTGCACTCACATTCTCTTGCTCTTTCTTAAGTGAGTCAAGGCGTACAATCTGCACCTTGCACTTTATACAGATACTCATCGCTCCTCAGACAACTGTGTAACATTCTGTGCCTGGGTACACCGAAGGCAAGATAACATCTTCCTAACGGTGAACAAAAGGGCTACTTCGAATCTTGTGTCACTACGAGTGATACTAAAATCGTGGAAGTCTGTGTATGTATTTCTGTGTGCATGCACAGCTGAACAACTTACAATGTCATAAGTATTCACAACAGTGTTACAGTGCATAGCTTCGGTACACAGGTAGTATTACAAAACGTTACCTGCACTTACCATGTCAGTAATGTAGATAACATCACCCTCCTCGAAGTACAGTTCATCTGGCTTTAAAAAAATGAAAAGAAAAAAGGTTGACTCCATGGGATTGTTGATGAATTAAATATAGTTTCTTTAATTATGTACACAGTGTGGATTTGTTTTTAAACTGGGGATCGGATCCAGTGATTTCACACTAAGATACACCCCCAGTCTTTTTATTTGTTTTTAAATTTTACTCTGAGACAGGGTCTCATCATGTCCCTAACCTGCACAAGCTGGGCCCAACTGCAACCCTTCTGCCTCAGCCTCCCAGAGTGCTGGAAATATACACACCAAATCCAACTAAATTATATAAACCACATAACAAAACACTACTGACAAAGAAATTCATGAATATAAATCTAAACTGTGTTCCCACAATGAACTTCAAAGAATTACATATATAACAAAGAAGTGGTTCTCACACAAATGTATTTATATTCCTATACAACCAACACAAGGCATTTATATATGAAAACAGAATCCTAATGAAAAATTCTCCCTTATATAAATTGCAAAGGCTGGCTTATTCTTAAAAGGGTAACTGTTTAGACTATCGTGAAAAATATCAACATCTGCTATTTGCTTATTTTGAGAAACCACTGCCCTCCCTCAATATGAAGCAGGTTCTCAAAGTTTTCAGAGATGATAAGCAGCTCTCCCGGGTTGGCTAACTGCATACTTCCTTCGTGCTGTGGCCTGCCCATCAGCCCAGTGCCCTACAAAAGCTCCGAACAGAACTAGCTAGCACTTTAACTCCACACCTTGCCTCATCCATAGGTAGCAGCTACTGTGGTTTTCTGAGTAAACAGTGCAACACCTAGTGAAAGTGAACTCAGGTACCTGGAGAGGTTTCCATCATCCGGCTGGGTGGAAAATGGGTACAAAATTTCACATGGGATAAGATCACAATTATGCATAAAAATGCATAGAAAACGTCCTATCATAAGCGAGGATTACTTTAAAAGTATCAGTGAGGAAAACAGTTTTTAAAGAGGTTAACACTTCAGATTATAGTTACCACTGCACACAAATCAAAATCATATCAGGGAAACAAATTACTGTATCACTCATTTTCCCCTGTTTGCCTCCTCTCAGCAGCAAAGTAGGCCACATATATATGACTGTGTACTGATAATTTACTTAATTTCAAGGCTGATCTATATTATTATTATTACTATAATTATTTCCCTGACTATATATGAAGGTTACGTCAACTATACACTTTAAGCAACAACACATGAATATTTACATGCAAGAGACAATTATAAAAGTTTGTAAACAATGATTAGTAATACTGCCCCAAATGGCCAAGTTCTTTTCAAAGAGAACTTCCTAAACCTTCTGTTCTATTTACAATTTGATTTAGAGACCAGAATTATACATTACACAATTAGTTTGATGACCTGAGTTTTAATTTTATTGGAAACAGATACTTAGGAGAAAATAAAAACCTTGAGGATCTTCTGTTTTTTAAATGTTTTGATGATCAGTGACAGGCTATGAATAACACAGGCTATATAGAAAATGGTTAGGAAGAAGAATGATTTCGTTTAGCATTTGCTGAAAACTCAGTTACTCTCAGCAAACCTAAAGGACTCTCAGCAGGCAGCCACCCAGAGGGGCACAGTGGGTACCGCCCATAACAGGAAGGCCACATCTGGCAACTTTCACACACTCTGACTCCACAGGCTTAAGGCACAGGGAGAAAAGTGAAAGCAGAATGGTGTAAAAATGAAATTAGGATCCATGGGAATTAGTTTTTTTCTGCAAAGACTCTGTATTTCCTGGAGTTTTGTAGGGTGAACTCTTAAAGAGTTCTTCCCATCCTAGAGCTCTCCTGGACCTTAATTCTGTACATGCCCTTCGTGCCCTATAAAGCAAGGGACCCAAACCCCAGGCCGTGGCCACACCAGTGGGCACCAGCCTGCAGCCTACCAGAAACCTGGCCCCCAGCAGGTCGTGCGCATCCTGGAGGGGAGCTTCACCTGTGTGTACAGCAGTGGCTCCCTAGCACCATGCATAACAGGACCAGACTAAACACCACTAAAGAGTCACTTGGAAAAGACTAATTTTATGTTATGTGAATTTTATCCAATTTTAAAAAATAAAACCAAATCCAGTTAAAAATCCTGGCATCTTTTCAACTATGCTTGTCCTCTGTAGTCTGGTAAAGTGCATCATTTGGAAAATGCCAGGCACCTGGATTCTTTTCCATGCTGATTTGCTTTTTAAATTAATGATCTCCCTGCAATAGCAGTGTCCGCCATGAGCCACCACTGGGTCAGGCTTGTTTTTCAGCTGAAGGAACAACAGGCAGTCGATTCCCGTTAGCTAGAAGAAGGTTTATCTCTTTTTAATCCTCAGAAATGACAGTGAACAGTTTATTTTCTTTTAATCAATAGTTCCCAGAGGTACAATCCCACTATCTGCAAAATAGCTTCTTCCAAAGGAAGTACGAATGGTTTTTTCCTAACCTGGCTAAACCCTTCAGCCTGCTGGAGGCAGTACGAGGTGATTTCATAATTATGAAATCATATGTCTGCCCACAGTATTCATGCTATCTATCAAGAAATCACCAGCAGGACACTTGGCATAAATAGTTCAGTAAGGATCTACTTTTCAATTCCTGGCATCATATTCATGGCCTAGAAATGGGAAAGCAGTGAGTCAGTGAGGTAAGCAGGGCTGTATTTCCAGTTCACTCCTCAATCTGTAAAAGCGCTCCTCTCTCCTCTCTCCTTGAAGAGCCACAGGTAGAAGGTAAGTAAGAAGCAGACCACTGCAATGCTGGGTACAAGCTGGTAACCCATTCCCATTCCTGATCCACATATTCTTTATAACATGATTTCCAGGGCGTTAATTTTGTTGGCTTATGCAAATACATAATTTATATAAAATTTAGAAAAACTGTGATATCCTTTTGAAATTTAGATTTGACCACCGTAAGTTCCAGAAACTAATAAAAGTAAATAAATACATTTTGTACAGTACTTATTATTGTCTGGGCACCTACAATATTAATTTAATCCTCACCAACAGCACTATAATGTGATGCAAATCTTACTGCTGTAAAACAGATGAGAAGCTTCTGCAAGATGGTAAGGTAGGTACCCGCCAGACGTCGCCTCAGTCCACCACAGTCAGATGGTAAAACTCCTCTCCCTAACCCCACCAGCGCCGCCCACAGCAGCAGCAGGCACAGCTGTTACTGATTAGCATGTGTCATGACCAGATTATGTGCTAGTGGCCTTGCAAATTATGTCATTCCTCACGCTGTCCCTACTGCAATAAAGCAGGCAACAAAACCCATAGCAGTACCTTTAACTTGCACAGTGCTTTTGACCTCATTTAGCCCTCATGACAACCCACTAGGTGGGGCTAGGCCACGGGCATCATCTGTTTCACAACTGGACCCAGCAAAACTAAAAGAACTTGTACAGATCGGGGGGGGGGGGGGGAGCAGGGCTGGGCCCCAATCTCAGCCTCTGGATTCCCATTCTGGAGTTCCTTCCTCCACTCGTGGTGCTATTAGATCCAGGGGAGCCCAGCAAACCTTACCGGCAGGGCAGGGCAAGGCAGAGCAGGGAGGGCAGGGCAGGGCAACGTCCTGCCAGTTTCTCTTTGGGAATCAATACTCCTCCAGCCGGGGGAGATGCTGTTCTCTCACACTCCTGTGTCACCACAGTGGTCTTTCCAGTCCAATTCTTCATGACACTTTATTGGACTGTGGTTTGGGAGAGAAATAAAAACCAAACAGGGCTGGGTGATGGCAGGACTTTGCTTTTAAGCAAGGTAGGCGAGCAACGGGCTGACAACTGGGAATCACAAGCTGCTTTGTGTTCTGCCTCTGCCTGGATCAGCTAGACAGTTGGGCATGGCTGCTGCTATCTCCTAGGGTTGGAACCACAGCTAAAAACATGATTGAGGCCTCCATGGGGCACTGTGCCTGCTGACCAAGCCCTCGACACACACTCCATCCTTAGATAAGGCCTGTTACCCATGACTTTGAGGAGGCTGAGTCGGTCTGGGACATGCCATGGTACATCTGTCCGCCACAGAAGATGGCCAATGATGACTGAGGAGACAGGCCAGGGAAGTTCCAGCACTGTCCAGCAGAAATTCTCACTCAGAAATAAATGCAAATGAGCCTGGAGCAGGGACAATATTAAAAATTTAACATCCTATGCATTTCACGGGTGAGAAAGGCCTAGGGGGGTTGGGGGCTACCTGTTCCAGACGCCTTCAACATCTGGACTGAAGGAGGGAAAGCAAGGAGGTATGGGGAATAGAGGCTGGGCTGGGCTGGTCAGCAGAGACCACTGCCTAGGACCCACAGGACCAAAACCACTAAAAAATACAGTCACACTTTAAATGTATACTCTTTAAAAAAATAAACAAATAATGTTTTAAATGTCTTTCCTCCTGTATGATCAATAGTAACTAAGGGTGTTTTTTTTCTTTTTCACTCTTGTGCTGAATGAACCAAATAAGGGTTTTTTTTTTTTAAAGCACTGGAAAAACACCATCACAGAGAATTATAGATAAATTAATCAATATATTGACCCATCAAAAATATTTGTTAAATGGGCCAGGGATACAGCTCAGTGGCACAGGACCTGCCTGGCAAGCACAAGCTCCTGAGTTTGATTCCCGGTACCAAAAAAAAAGTCTGTGAAATATCCATTAACACAGAATCTCCTAAGTTCGGCAGGATGGCACCACAAGTGATCCCAGCACTCAGGGAGCTGAGGCAAGATCGCTGCGAATCTGAGACCAGTCTGGGGTACAAGGTGAGTTCAGGGCCAGCCTGAGCTATGTTAAGACCCCAGCAGAAAAAAAAAGAAGAAAGAAAGAAACTCCTTCCAAGAGGAACATTTACTCCTTGATAATAACAGCAGCTTTAGACGTTTCCTTGTTTCCTCACTGAATTCTCACTTAACTCCTAAGAGTTTGATTGTCACTCTCACTGTAGATGACAACAGAGACAAGCGGTCAGGGGCTTTGCTCCAGGCCACGCAGGTGCTGCAGTCACCAAGCCAGTCCTAAGGCTTAGCACAGACACTGACTCCTGCGCTCACCACACCATGAGGACTGCAGCACTCAACGCTGAAGTTCAGGAGTGGAAGAAGCACTCTACTTCTGACCAGAGCGGTCAGAGAAGTGTCTGAAGAAGAGGAAGAGGTCATTCGGGCTTAGACACCATGGCCCAGAAACAGTGCAGAGACACGTTCTACTGCGGGTCCAATTCTGCGTGGACAGCCGAAGAGGAAGGAAAGAGCACAGTGCAGCTGGAAAGGGGAGGCTGGACTCCCAAGGACCACACCTGCGGTTAAAGGGTCTGAAGCAGGCGGTGGGACCAAAGCCACATTTCAGGAACATCGGGTAGCAGAAAATGCAGATGCAATAGGGACACTGGCTCTGTACTCTGAAAGCGAATGAAACACAAGGTCAGGAGGAGACGAAGGAGGAAGAGGAGGCCACTGAGAAAGGGCAAAGGTGACGCCAACTAAGGACACTGAGGGAAGTCAAAGAGAGAGCTTGCAGTCAGCTCAAGTCTCAAAGCTCAGCACACGCAAGTCCTATTCTAAAAGGAAGGGGAAGCAGAGAGCAGCTGCTCATTGGGAGGCTCAGCGGGTAGCTGAGGACACCAGCCTTCCCCCAATGGCAGAAGGCATGAGACGATGGTCCTTCCTGTGCACGGGGGTTAGAAACCGCTTCCCTACCATGTGCTAGCACTCACCAGGGGTATACTTTGAATCCTTCTGTTGAACACTAAGCCCAGCTCCTCAAAGTACGTGACTGCACTCCAACAGAGGATCTTGTAATAAAGTTAGAATGAGGTTTTTAGGGCAGCCCCAACCAACGTGAATGCTGTCCCTAAAAGAGGCTTAAGCAGTATGCAGAAATGCCATAGGAGAGACCCCAGGGAGAAGACAGCCATCCACAAGCAGTGTGGGGGGATCACTGCTGCTAACACCCTGGTATGGACTTCTAGCTCTCAGAATTCCAGAGAAATTGCCAAAGCCATGCAGTCTGTGATCCTCACAGTCTCCACCCTGGCCGACGTGTAGGAAGGTGTTGCTGGAACTCTAGGAGAGAGTGAAATGCCCTGCCAACCTCTCTCTATCCAGAAACATTTTGTCTGCAAAGGCTTAGGAGGACTTATCTGCATATGCATGCACCCCATATTAGCTACAGAATATGCCACCGTTTTCTGGTGCTTAGCTCGTGGTAGCTTCGAATATTTTCCTCGCACCACCACAGAAGGATGGCCGACAGTATTCCATTTCCAAATGAAGAACCGATGGCCTTGGAGATTACATCATTCACACAGCAAGAAAATGACAGAGTTGGGGTTTGCAGCCAGGCGCCAACCTGATAGTGGTGAATTGGTGCTGAGAACCCCCACGGATGCCAGGGACAGCAGGGCCCAGGGTGAACACAGATGCAGCTAATGGCAGGCCAGCTGCCCGTGGAGGGGAGCCCCTCCTCTCCAGCATATAAGGGAGGAGAATCAGCAACAGCTCTTTTTGGTTTCTTTGTCCTTGGTGGGTTTTTTGGCTCCTAACTATCTGAACTCCTGCTTCACTATTAATCTCTGCTGCACCAAAACCATCCATGTTGGTTGGCTTTCCGCTCCTCAGTTAGAGGAAGTCTTCTAAAACATCACCATCCAACAAACCCCACACACAGAACCTTCCAACTGCTTCCCGTCTTCGCCAGAGTAAACCCCAAAGGAACCCATAAGGCCTAACACGATCTGCCCTGGCCTCTCCGCATGGGTCTTTCACCAGCTGTTCTCGTCACACTTTTCCAGGCTGCACTGTCTGCCCTGTTCTGCTTCCCCACTGCCTGCAGGTGTCCATTCAAAATCACCTTTATAGAAAGTCCATCCCTGGCAACCTACTGAAAACAGCACTCTCTTCCACCAGCCTCTCCCCTTGCCATCCCTACCCTTTGCCACAGCCCCTCGCCCAGATAGTCACATCACTTGTGTACCCACTGTCTGTCTGTCCCCACTGTGACTCCAGCTCAGTGAGCCTTTTCTGTTAGGGTTGCACTAACCATAAAGTCTAGACCAGTGTCTGACACATGGGCCCGAGGAACCACGGATGGATGGGTGGCTTTATGGATGACACCAGAAACTACAGCAAGAGAAAAGTACACACGGCAGCGATAGGAGATCAGTAGAAGGGGCCACCATGAGGTCGATCAAGGTAGGTGATGAGAAGAAGGGAAGGCTAGTATGGGATCTATAGCAAAGAAGGCTAAGTCAGGGTCACCCGTGCTTTATATCAAGGGCACCTGGTGATCTGAAAGCAGCCTGGGTCACCACACAGGGGACAGCAGTACCTGAAGGACACAAATCAGCTTGGGGGCTAGCTTGCACTACCGAAGACAGCAGTGAATTTCCTGTGTCCATCCAAGAAAAGCAGGCGAGGGGCCAAGGAAATGTCTAAGTAAAATGATTCCAGGTTGTAATGTCAACTTTAAAGTTAAAAACCTCATACTTACAGTTCTGGGTTCAAAGGTATAAAGAGCTCTGAAGACTTTAACTTGCCCTAGAAGAAAGGGAAAAGCAACATCTGATCAGTTTGATTAATCCTAAATCTTGTTCTATAAAATATTATCCTTTATATCCTTCAGGATTCCCTAATTGAAAGCCCATCAGATGAAGTTATTCTGAATTAAGTACCTTTTCCACAAAGGACATATTTATAAAATAAATGCATGTCTCTGGAGGATGGCTTTGCTTCCCCTTGAGCAGGAACTACATGATTGCTTGAATTGCCTTATGTAGAATCAGTGCTTTTAACCCTAAGATTGAAATTTAAAAATATAAAAGTGAGCCCAGATGGTGGCACACACTTACAATCTAGCACTCGAGAGGCTGAAACAAAGGGACCTCAAATTTGAGTCACACTGGCCTCGACTACACAGTAAGATCATCTCAAAAAACAAATACATACACAGACAGCTATATTAAAAGGTGACCAACTTAACATAAAGAAAAATTTAATGTGAGAATCTATACTGACTTAATACTCTTAAATCAGTGGATTAGGATTTTACACTTTCCCAAAGAAAAGAAAACACAGCACCACGGAGGAACTAAAACGACTTGCCGAGGAAACTTGTGATTCCACCAAGTCTCCCAACAAAGACATGCAATAATAGAGAGGTTGATCATGGGAGTGTCCTCCTCATGCTGCCAAACAACCCTCTCTTCATGTGTCCATCTGTAGCATTTCCATAACACTGACCACACCCACAAATCTGCTAGCTGAGGTCCTCTGAGGGCAAGACCCCAGCTTGTCCAGCTTCTCATCCCTGCAGAACAGTGTAGACCACCCTCTATTACACGAACAGTGAGATCTACAAAGAGCAAAACAGAGAAGGGAACTTTCCAGAAATAAATAGATTTAGAAAGCATGTTAAAATAGGACTATCTGTTCTCTTAAATTGTTTTTCGCAGGTGTTTGGTGACAGGGACAAAAACCTGATTAACACCGGAGGGCAAGTTAAAAGAGTGACCTGCCACATGCATCCTGCTTAGGTCACCCACACCTGCGCAAACCCTGCAATGTGAGCACCCCTTAGGGGAGCCTCACACACTAGTATATACTGTTTACATTCTTTGCACTGGAGCAAGCAGGACTTTCACAATCCATGGAAACAGCAGCAAACATTTCCTGTGAGCCAGGGAGGAAGCATCCTTGCCTTCCCTCTGACCACCCCAAAGGAGAAGGCCGGCTCCTGGGCTCTAGGACTCACTGCACCCATCAGACAGCGCTGCAGCGATCTGTACTCTAGAGCCACATCGCTCCTGCTGGACTAAGGGGAGGGTCACAGGAAGAAGCAAAGGGAAATATTCTTTCCTTTGTCTGCAGCATTTTTTGTACTCACACTCACACCCTATCTGGGGAAAGGAAACACCAAAAGGAAGAGGCAAGGTCACACTGCGGGAGAAATGCTTTCTGCTGACAGGCTGTCCTTGTGTGAGGGGAGATCAGCTATCTTGATTACCCTGAACTTCCCAAAGGGAAGTCACACAAGGAAGTGACCCGCTTGTGACCAAAGTCAGTGAGGACAGAACTTCTTGTTTGCTGGAGGGAATGGAATGATGAGCTATGTGGCTAATTTTGGAACCAAGACCCAACACCATCTTAATAGGTTGACATCAGTAAAAACAGCTAAAAACAAGTATGTGGTGTATGCCTAAACCATTTGTTTTTATAACTGTATCTCTAGTGCAGTCTTACTTTAAAAGTTCACCACTGAAAGGAAGTGGACAGTTTATTTGTACTGAAAAGCAGGCAACTCCTCAAATTAAACAAAGGAGCATCTGACTGTGTAACACTGTAGAAGAAAACGTTCACATACACAGCTCCATTTATTGCTTAATACTGGGACACTAGCCCTTTTAATATGTACATTATAAAAGCTCTGCGCTTTTATTCCTTCTCAAAATGGAGTCACCTGGAAGTGGAAGAACTGATGCAACCAGAAATATAAAATGCACAGACAAGAGAAGGATGACTTTCCCGGTCACAGGTCAACAACACTGCACATTCTCTCGCAAAAGAACTATGATGTTAATTCTCTGGTAATTTTTATACCAAACTTAATTAACTCTGAGCAATGGTCCACGCATCTAGAAGTTTATAGAAAGTGCTATGGAGAAGTTAGAATGCTCTCTGTTTCTATATTATTTTCTTTAAAAACATTTAAAAACCAGAAAATGCATCACCAGAAACAAACGGTAAAATGATGTGGTGGTACACACCTATAATCCTAGCACTTGAACGGCTGAGACAGGAGGATCACTGCAAATTCATAGTGAGTTCAAAGATAGCCTGAACTACATAGCAAGACTGTTTCAAAAAGTAAAACAAAAACAAAACAAAAAAACAAATGGAACTGTCTACTGCTTTTGTTTCTGTTTTTTGAGACAGACAGGGTCTTGCCTCAAACTTGTGATCCTCCTGGCCCAGACTCCCAAGTGCAAGGATTATAGGAGTGTGCCACCACATCAGGCCTCAAACTGACTTACAGAAGGTAAATCACAGACATAAAGAAGTTGTGTTCCTCTGTGTGGAAAGAGGCTGGGTTAGACGCCTTTCAAGGCTCTCTCAGCCTGATCCACGATCTCACTCAAGTTCATCCACATATGGCAAAGTCATAGGAAAGGGGCTGTGTGGAGGCAGCAGAATTTACCTGTGTGAAGGCTGGAAAAAGGGCAGCCCTCCATCTGACCCCCCAGCAGGGCGTTTATGGTGCTGCTCAAGAAGGACTTGAGGGGACACACGAAAGGCAGGCTAAAGCCCTGCCAGGGTGAGCAGGGAAGGTACCCAACGCTGCTCCTCTTGCTGGCCTTGCCCTTTCCTTTCCTCGCCAAGCCCGCCGGGTCTTCCACAAAGAGGAAGCGGGGCCACCAGTCACCAGCCAGACCCTGTGTTTCCTTCTGGGGGCAGGCTGGGCCCAGACTTCCAAATGTGGTGGGGGCGGGGCAAAGTGAGGGAGGAATCTAGGACAGGGTCTCTGCAGGCAAGAACAAAGCAGTCTCCTCCGCCGTGGGGGTGCGGGACAACCAGCACACCTCCAAGGCCCGGAAACAGCACCTGGCTTACAGACTCACGGTATAACGCCCTATCTGTTTCACTATGGGTTAGAGAAGGAGTAAAGGAAAAACTGGAGAAAACCACCAGGACAGTGCAAAAGGGACTGCTCACTATCAAGGAGGGACACAGGAAAAACCAAAGCATGGTGGGCTCAGCTCCAGCTGAGCAATTTAGAAACTTAGCAAGACCTTATCTTAAAATAAGGAAAAATAAAAATGGGCCAGGGATGTAGCTCAGGGTTAAGGTCCCGGTTTCAATCTCCTACACACACACATACATATACACAAAAAAGCCAGTAAGCAGAATGACCTGTAATACTTTCATCCACTTGAATGGTTTCACACTGTCTTGATATGATTGATGCTATAGTATATGAAGTTATATTCAAATATTTCAAGGAAAGAGACACTATGGTAACTACTATTAAGTCGGGTTATTTGGTGGTAAAGCACTAGGTTGCTGAAATTGCCATGCTTTGACCTATATTGTTATGTTGTTATGTCCTCTTTTATCTCAATCTCCCCCATATTCATTAAAAAATTATTTATTTTTATATTTTTTTAATTAAGGGAAAAAAATTTAAAAAAATAGCAGGATATATTATAGTAACTTTTTGATTTCCTATTAACTTGATTTGAAGCCCTGTATTACTCCCACTATCTTTCTTTGACTAATTAGACTCTGTTCCATTCTGTTTGATAGTATCAAGTTTGAGAGTATAGGCAACTACATAGAAGGCAATAAGATTCACTATGATGCCCATTCTGATTTGATTATTATCTTCTTTTGAAGTCCTGTAATGTTTCTAATGTTTAGGTTTTATTGGTCTTGTTCTGTACTGTTTTGTTCAATTTTATTATACCTGATGATATAGGCAATTCTAAGGAATCAAAAGGCATTATGGTAACCATTGTTGATAACCTTGTACTCTGTTTTTACATCATGTGCTATGGCTATCCTTTATTTTGACGGGCTGCTTTGTTTTGTCATATTCAGTTTTATTCTCTTCCAAAAAAAAAAAAAAAGTAGTAAGAACTACGGAAGTAATAAAACCCAAAATGTGTAAATTTTGTTGTAAAAAAGAGAGGGAAAAAAAGTGCTCTAAAGGATACAACTGCAAGTGTGTTTAGGTGTGTCAAGATAGATGACCATATTACTGAGTTTTTGCTGGATCATTGAACACAACTATTTGCATGTCCACTTTATGCTTTAATCCTGTAACTTGAACAACTATTTCTAAGATGACAATATATAATCTATTAACTACTGATTTCTTACCTTTTTTTTTTTTTTTTTTTTTTTTTTGTAATTCTGTATTACTTGTACCCTTATACTTTTGTTTTGGGTTTTCTTCTTTTAAATAAAAATTAAAAAAAAAGAAAAGATGGAGGAGACTTAAAAGCATACTACTAACCCAAAAAGGCTGCATACTATACAATTCCAACCACAGGACATTCTAGAAAAGTAAAACTGTGCGGACAGTGACATCAGTGGTTGCAAGGGCTGGTGGGAAGCAGAGGGTACATAAATAAGTGAACGCAGAGGCTTTCTGGACAGTGAAACTACTCTACATGGCCCTATAATAGTGACATATGAGTTTGTCCAAACCCGCAGAATGCACAAGAGTGAGCCCCAATGCAAACTCAGGATTCTGGGCAGTAACTATACCTCAGGCTTACTCATTGTAATAAATGTATTATTCTGACAGGAGAAATTCATACAAGGTAAGCGGACTGACACACGTGGGAACATAGAACACACGGGAAATCTCTGCACCAATCTCTGTGCTCTGTGCTGTTAAATTAAAACTGCTGTTTAAAAACTCTCACATTTTGAACAGGTGTGGCAGTGCACATCCACGGTCCCAGGACTCCAGGGAGCTGAGGCAAGGGTCCACAAGTTCCAGCCCAGTAAAGGCAACTTAGCAAGAGCCTGTCTCC